ATTTCCAAAACACGTGCTCTGTACAGAAAATATCTCACTGCGGCACCAAACATATTTAACAATAGTCCTAAACATCTTTTAACTTCTCTGCAGATGGAAGCCAATGCCCAGTAAATAATGATTCAGTATCTTGTTTAGGAATGACCTAGCTATTCAACAAATTCCATCATTTAACTTCTTTTAGCACAATATCAAGAGATTTTTTTTTTCAGTTCTTCCTCTTACTGTTTTTACAAAAACCAACATCTTGGCTATTTTCAGGGATTTTTTTTTCTTTCAGTTCCCAAATATCCACTTCAGCTTTAAAAAAAAAAAAAAAAGGCAACAGTAGCAGACAGTAGTAGATACATCATTCACTTTCACGTGCCTCACTTTCAGCAAAACCAGGAAAAGACAACAGGATTTGGACTCAGGTACCAACAGACACGCGCACACAAGTGCACGCGCGATAAACCTGAAGCAACTGCAACAGGCCACTTTGATATAATAGCAGAGCCATTAGGGGCCATTTTTTCTCCAGATCTCAGGAAGTACTGAGGCCACACAATGTTACAATAAAAATATTTTCTTTCATTTAAGAGAGCATAGCTTAAGCTCTCCCAGTTTTGCAAAAATATCCCAGGGGACTATAAAATGGAACAGAGCTCTGAATACCCATAATTATTCATGGTTGGTATTGTCAAATATCAAGGAAACAAACAATTCAGAATGGTCTCTCAGGATCACGGTTCCCTAGCCCCCAAAAGGGAGATTCTCAGCCAATTCCCCATCAGTCCAAAAGGGAAGAACCCCAACCAATGCCCTGTCAGAGATGAGGCTGAATGAATGATCCAGGTGGGTCCAAAAGGGAAAATCCCAGTCAATGCTCTATCGCAGGCAAAGCCAACACAAAGGGAAGGCTACCCCTGGTGCCGTCACACGCAAGCCCATTACTCACCAGAGAGGTCTCAAACTGCTAGTGCAAGTACTGATACACACACACACACACACACACTACCCCCCTTTTTTTTTTTTTGCAGTAATGGACAAGCTAATCTCTCTTCTTTTTAAATGGGAGTACTGGGGATTGAACCCAGGACCTCCTGAATGTTAAGCACACACTCTACCACTGAGCTATTCCCACCACGCCCCCTCCAGACAAGCTAATCTTGATGTTAGTATGGAACTGCAAGGGTCCCAGAAGAGCCAAAACAATCTTGAAAACGATTAAGTTGGAGGACTCAAACTTCTTGATTTTCAAACTTGCTACTACAAAGCTCCAGTAATCAAGACAGTGTACTGGCAGGGGGATAGATACATAAATCAATGGATTTGAAACGAGAGATGAGAAGTAAACCTATGGATCTATGTTCAATTGATTTTTCAACAAGGGGACCAAGATCTGGGGGAAAGAATAGTATCTTCAACAAATGGTGCTGGGATAACTGGATAGCCCCGTGCAAAAGAATGAAGATGGCCTCTTACTTCACAACATACGCAAATATTAACTCATAATTGATTGAGGTCCTAAATTGAAGAGATAAAACTAAAAAACTCTTAGAATAAAAACCACAGGGGTAAATCTTTAAGATTTGGCAATGGATTTTTAGTTCTGAGACCAAAGTACAAGCAACAAAAGAAAAATAGATAAACTGGGCTTCATCAGAATTTAAAACTTTTGTGCTTCAAAGAACATGATGAAGAAAGTGAAAAGACAACCCGCAGAATGAGAGAAAGTATTTTCAAAATGTATCTGGTAAGGATCTAGTGTCCAGGATATATAGACGACTCTTGCAGTTCAACAACAAAAAAGACAAATAAGCCAAATGAAAAGTGGGAAATGGAGTGGAATAGACATTTCTCCAAAGAAGGATGTACAGATGCCCAAGGAGCACATGAAAAGATGCTCAACATCATTAGTCCTAGAGAAATGTGAATCATAACGGCACTGAGACACCATTTCACACTAGGGTGACTATAATTAGGAAAATGGAAAATAACCTGGGGGGATACGCTGATCGGTAGGAAGCTAAAATGGTATCGCTGCTGTGGAGGAGCTTGGTGGTCCCTCAGAAAGTTGAACAAACAATTACCAGATGACCCAGCAATTCCACTCCTAGGTATGTATGCAGAAGAACTGAAAACAGGTGTTCAAACAAATACTTGCACACCAATGCTCAGAGCAGTACTGCTCATAACCACCAAAGACTGAAAACAGCTCAAGTATCTGTCAACCTATGAATGTACAAATGAAATGTGGTTTATCTATACAAGGGAGTATTATTTAGCCATAAAAATGAATGAAGCACTGATACATTCTACAAAATGGATGAACCTTGAGAACATGCTACGTGGAAGAAGCCAGACCATATATGATATGATTCTGTTTACATGAAGTGTCCAGAGCAAGCACATCCATAGAGACTAAAAGCAGATTAGTGGTTGCCAGGGTGTGGGGTGAGGGAAAGGTAATGGGAAGTGACTACGTAATGGGTATGGGGTTTCTTTTGAGGACGGTGAAATTAAAGTTAAAATAAGATGAAATTAGAAACTGGACTTAGTAGTCATGGTTATACAACATTGTGAATGTACTGAAAGCAACTGAATTGTACACTTTAAAATGGCTAATTTTGTTATATGATTTTTACCTCAAATTAATTGAAAAAGACACACAGAAACACAAAATAGCTTTATATTTGTTTAGGTACAAGGATGTACTATGTCTATAAATATATAGCTAATAGTCCAGGATACACTCCAAGCTGGGAGCAGTAATAATATAAGGCAGGAACATTGATCGCCAAGGGAAATTTACTTTGAAATGTATGAATTAGAAATAAATCATTAATTAAAAAATGTTAGGTTGTGCATGAGTATAAGACCTATAGGAACAGCTCTGAGGGCAAATTTCACGGGAAATTCACTTTCCACCTTATATATCTCTGCATTATTTGAAATTTTAGAAACAGACACACCATATTCATAAACAGCAAAAAAAATTAAGAAGAAGAGAACCTGAAGCCAAAGAGGGGCGCAGTGAGGAAACTGAGGCCAAGGATCATGCATGGCCTTCAGCCCCATCCCATGCCACTTTGTGAATAACTGCCAAAGCATGAACAGAAAAGGTGCTGGCAGGTTTTTCCAGGGACTTTCAAGACAAAGCCAGGATATTCTGGCAACAAACAGCCAGACCAGCATGGGGTAGGGGAGAGGTCCTCCAAAACGGGGGGCTCTAGTGTTGTGACCATGGCAACCTGACCTGGATGGACTGAACCTCGGCATGCCAGCCGCGTCCAGAGCCCCCTTCTGAGCGATCCCTTCTGCAGAACGCAGCAGACTGGGCCGGAAGTAGGTGCCTGATGCCAAGACCAATGGCTTAATGCAACTGATAGAGACCTGTTAAGAACAGCGCTCTGCTCACCCTGATTGACAGGCACTAAAGGAAGCAATAGGTCCACCCTTGAGGACTTTTAATGTGATGTAAAGAGGCTGCTTGGTTGACAAAAGGATCAGAAACCCTAAGACACGCCAATAAACAGCGCCATGGCAATTAGGACAAGTGATGGTACAAAGCCTCGAATACACAAAAACAGGAACCACAGACAGTACATGGCCCCACAAGCGGTGGGCACCCAACAAACCCCCCATGTAGAAAAGTGAGCAATAGCAGGCATGCTAAAGCCAGAGCCAGAATGGCCTTCCAAATCCCAAAGGACTCACAGCATCTCTGCATCACCTGTGCCTGCCGTTCCAGTCCTAATTCTGAATCCTAGAAACGCAGCTCTCCGTGAGCTCCCAGGAGCCCTGGCCACACAGTTGCATTCTTATAGCACAGCAGGGCCGATCCAGGTTTTGTGGGACCTGAAGCTTATATAATTTGGAAGGCCTACTTTAAGAAAAAAAAATTTAGACTTAAAATAAGGCAAATGAGTATTTAGGACAAGTAAAGAAATCATAAATTACACATTTTTAAAGGTTGGCAGGTAGCACAAACATAACAGTGTACATGTTAGTTAACTGTCCTATCTCACTATTTACATTTTTAGCTGCATAACCTCTGATTACTTTTTCATATGATGATTTTGCAATAGGATTTTCTATAGAAACTTGTTTGTTATTGATATTGCATAAAATGTGATTTCTTGAATCACTTTGCTATATACTTGACACATTGTAAATCAATTATACGTGAGTTAAAAAAAAACAAACAAACCCCAAAACAGAAACATGTGATTTCTCTTGCTGACTTACACACTGTTCATGGCAGTTCTGGTTGGTCCTCTGCAATCACAGGAATTCTGTGATAAATCTATTTCACCAAATTTATACCCAAGAAAAGAAGGAAGTTTAGAATGTTTCTAACTGTCGTATTGCATTATCAAATATATTCATGATGTGACAGAACTTCAATTTTCACCAGGAATCAATGAGAGCAGAATCCTCCACTTATAGTTTACCCTGTCTGAGAATTGGAAGAATTCTCTACAGATCAGCTTTTGTTCTCCACACTCTCCAAAGCTGGGTTTTCCTTCCCTGCCCATTCACTCTGGTGCTGGGCCCTGCAGGGCACGTTCGTATCACTGCAGCAGCACTTCTGTCCCCGCATCTTCATACTGTGACCCAGATAAACAGATGTGGTAACTGGCAGCAGTACTCCTGGAAGCCACAGCTAGCAGGATGGGGAGCGAGAATTTCTCTCTTTCCAGGGGTGATTGTGAACCACATAAACCTATCCCATTAACCCATAATAAGTGTATCCCAACTCAGCCTCCCGCCTAAGTCACATCCCCAGAGAGACTGCAGCCATTCCACAGCACCCAACAAGAAAAGGGTGACAGAAGGAGTCAGAGAGGGGGAGACAGAAGCCCTCTCCAGTCGCAGTGAAAATATCTTGCTTTCACGAAATTTACAAAAAAACCATACTAGCCCATGAACACACTGCTTGGGTCCCTCCCAAAGGCTGACACAGAAGCTTCCAGAAATCCACATGGGTGAGGAGTATTCCTAAGCAAAATCACTTACTTGAAGGAAAGCTGCATGAGTCTCTCTCTCCATTGCCACCAGCAGGAACAGAAGTGACTGCCTGGAAGGTGTAGAAAAGAGCAAGACTTAAGATGACAGTTGGGTCTGAGAAATAAACTGAAGGCAAGAGATCACAGCCGGCCCCCCAAAATGGTGGGAATGAATATATCAGGGGACTGGGTGATCTATAAGGAGACACAAGCAAGAGAAGAGGGGAAAGACATGTGGCCGAAACGTGGACAGACAGGACCTGATGAGGGGAGCCATGTGCGCAGGTGGGCGGAGTCTAATGATGAGGGTGACTAACAGTTGAGGGTGGGGCTAAAGTCTAGGGTGGCCTAACTGATGGATGAGTGGACTCTGAAGATCAGGGCCATGGACACACAAAATGTGAGTGAGGCCCGTACAGAAGGGACCTGCCCGGCGGATGATGAGCAGTGTTTAAAGGTGAGTCGAGGTTTGGAAATAAGATGGATGGGGCCTAGAACTGAGAGGCCAGGGCTGCCTGGGTCAGGCCCCTTTCTTGCCAGCACCAGAGGTGGGGACGGGCACAGGAGGGTACCCCACTGAGCATCTCCATGTTCTTCCTTCCCCCAATCAGTTAGAGAAGGCAGCCATAAAGATTCAGTCCTGGTGGCGTGGCAACATGGTACGCCGGAAGTTACTGCACGCAGCACTCAGGGCCTGGGTCATCCAGTGCTGGTGGAGGTCGATGCAGGCCAAGATGCTGGAGCAAAGACGGCGCCTGGCACTAAGGCTCTACACCTGCCAGGAGTGGGCCGTGGTGAAGGTGCAGGCACAGGTTCGGATGTGGCAGGCCCGCAGACGGTTTCTCCAGGCACGCCAAGCAGCCTGCATCATCCAGTCTCACTGGCGCTGGCATGCCAGCCAAACCCGAGGCCTGATCCAGGGCCGCTACGAGGTCAAAGCCAGCCGGCTAGAGCTCGACATTGAAATCCTCATGACCTAGGGTGCGGGCAGAGCCAAGGAGACTGGATCTCTCTTCCAATAAAGACATTTACAGATCATGGTCTTGCACTTCGGAAATGAGACCCAGAGGAGAGGGATCAGCCCCTTATCTCCCTACCTTCCACCCACAAACAGGTTCCCTGGCATGGTCTACAGCCCGTCCCAGGGCAACCCACGATAGGTAGGCCCTCACTCCTAATGCCAACCTGACCAATCTTGTACCGAAAAGAAACCCCAGGGCTCAGGTCAGGCTCTGACACCTCGGCCAGCCTGACCCCAGCTCCCTCCGTAAGTGGGGTTATGCGTTGGGCTTTATTTTTCCGCAGCCTCTGCCCGGGCCTCTCCGTTCAGGCAGGACACTAGAGAGTCTGGCTGCAGTCAGAGCCAGCTGGGAAGGCCAGGATTCCACAGGCCTATGATTGGCAGGGCCCTCAGGGCCAGCACAGAGCTTGGCAGGGAACCAGGAGGACAGGGTACCCCAGAGGAGCAACAGCAGGACAGGCGCTGGGCCTCAAGGGGGGACAGCCAGGCAGAGCTGGCCCGGGGAAGGGGCTGAGATGCTGCAGCTGTGCCTCCCTCCCAGGGGCCGAGAGACAAGGCTTCCATCCCCTCTGCTGGCCGCTGCCTGTGAGAACCAAGCGTGGAACTGGGGAGGGGAGAGAGAGTGGGGGGTGGTTTGCGGGGATGTGGGTAAACAAGCAGGGGAGGATTAGGGGTGGGGATGGGGGAGGGCCATCCCTCTCTCATTGGAGGTCTTTGGCTTGGGGATGCAGGCTCTAAATCCTACCATGTCCTCAGAAGCAGCGGTGCCAGCCTCCCTCCAGAACCCCCTCTCTACCCCAGCCTCCCACCATCTACCACACCCTCTGCTGGGCCTGCCTCTAGTGGGTGCTGGTGGGTCTCCGCTTTGCTGAATCTCTCATTATCTTTTGGCATTTCTGACTCAACCATCTCTGTATAAGATCTCTCACCATCTCTGCTTTGTCATCCATGCCCAAGGTCCCTCACCCTCAGCCTGTGTCAGGTGTCATGTTTATCTCTGAACCTGCATCCCAGAAGTCTGAAGTCCATGACCCTCCCCAGGATTTTGCAATGGGTGGCCTTGCACAAGGGATGGGAGGACCAGCCGGGGAGGTGTACAGAAGCCAGAGGTCTTCATGGGCCTTGCAGCTGAGTAAGGTTTTCTCTCACCCCAGGCCCCCTTGGATGTGTGTGTGGTGTGGGTGTGTGGGATTCAGGGCAGGGTGTCTCCAGAATAGTTGTTGACAGATGTGAGGGATTCAGAGATCAGTTCAATATCCATCACCTCCGGTAGCTGCAGGTGGCACTGATGCAGCTGGGTACCTCAGTCATCCAAGGGACCCCTTTTAGGAGCTTCAGACACAGCTCTCTCCTCTCCTGCTGACAGCAGAGATAGGTAGGAAACTGGTTACGTCTGCAAGCTGGACGTGGCAGGAGTTCTGCATGACTAGCCCAGCAGGCACCCACCCCTGCAGTGAGAGGTGTTCAAAACCTGTGCTGGCGAGAGTTTCTCTGATTCACAACCTAAATTGGGCATTGGAATCCCCTAAAACACATACACACAAATACTTGTGCCTGGGCCCACCCAGAAATTCTGTTTTAATTGGACTGGGGAGAGGCGTGGGCATTAAAATTCAATATGTGGCCACAGTTTGGAAACTGCTGAGTTAAGCCCTTCCCAGCCCAGGTTATCTGGCCCTCAGTCAGCCTGCGTGGTCCCATGCGGGGATGGTCATGCAGAATTCCAAGCTGAACACTCAGTGGGCTCAAGGTAATCAAGGCTTTCTGCATTCTTAGCTCATCAGAGAGCAAAGTAAAACAGGGATCTAGAGGCAGAGCTACTTTGGGTCAAAAACCTTTGGAAGCAGGAAGACACAGCCCCTCCGGAGAGCTGGGGCCTGGAGGGGGAGAGGCTGTTGGAAGCAAAGTAGGCTGGGCCTCTTGTCCCAGGTAGACCAGATTTCAGGAAGATGGTGCCACACAGGTTGTGGGCAATGGAGACCCTGGGGCTAGCCCAAGAAGGCCAAGTTTCATCCAGAGTCTTCCCTGCCACCTGCAAGAGTCCCTCCAAAGTTCAGGGGTCTCGAGAAGCCATGGATGGCCTAGCCCTGTGGACGGTGGACATCAGAGAGCCCCATGCCGAGGAAGTAAGGAGGCACAGAACAGGAGTCAGGACAGAAGCTCCTTTTAGAGCAAAGTCTGTGTCTAGTGTTGGCCTAGACTGGTAGAGCCAGGTAGGACTTTTTAGAGGGAGATCGCACAGACCCTCCCTTCTCTTCCCTGCCATCACTGAGAATTGAGCTGCACAAGGACCTCTTCCTGAGAATACACTGAAACACTGCAAGTGGGGAGGGGAGGCGTGTGCTTGCAGCTGTGGGGCAGAAGTGGGTTTAAGAGCACACTCTGGGGGACTTGGTATCCCTACTATTGTTCCTCCTGCAGGTGACATGAAGGCCCCAAGAGCTATGTGCCCGAGGCCCAATCAGCAAAGACATATACTGACCCTCAGACTGGCCCAGCCTCCTGGGCCCCTGAGAAGGCAGTTCAGTAAGTAAAGGCCCATCTCCTGCAGGTCCTTCCAGCCCTGGGAAGGGAGCCCCAGGTGGCTTCTAGTCTCCTTGCCCCAGGATGCCCGCCTCATGCTCTCAAGCCCCTCACCTGACACACCGCCAACCTCAGCTCTGATCCCACAGCTCCAGGGTCTCAGCCTGCCTCACCTTCTGCCATTCTCTGGCCCACGTGCCAAACCCGAAATGAGACGCCCAGAGCACTGCATGCCGTGCCGGGAAGGTTGAGTGGGCTGACCAGCATCCCACCCACCACTCCCACACATCCACACGCGTTACTGGAGGACACTGGTTCTGACCGCCACCCCAGCCACCCTCACTGTGCCAGGTGGATGTTGCTCGGTGTAAGGAGGTCTTTGTTCAGCTTTGTTTCTAAAAATCGAGTTTGTTTGAGTCCACCACAAGAGAGTAGTCTGGAAGCAAGCACTTGTTAGGCAGAAGAGCTGGACTGAGTTGAGAAGAAAAGTTGTTTTCTGGGCACTCCCAAGCTGGGCTTCCATATCACCTGTCCAGAACCAAGAACTTAGGAGAGTGTGATTCTGTAGAGGGTGACCACAGGTTCTGACAGTGAAAGGGGTGGGAGACAGGGCAGGTAGAGACAGTTCCAGCCACACAGGGAGAGACAAAAGGCCACTCATGGCCCTGCGACAAAGGAGTATGAGGGGGCACAGCTACTGCTGCAGCCTGCCACCAGATCCTGCCCTCAGCCCTCCCCAGGTCACCCCGGCAGGCACGGGGGACTCTGAGAACACAACCTGGGGAGGCTGCACGGCTCAGAGGTGAAAAGGGAGGGGCCAAACGAGTGGGCCTGAGGGCTGCCCCCAGTGAGCCCTGGATACTCCCCATGGGGCTGGGAAGTAGCCAAGAGTTCCTGCCCCGCCCCAAGATGGGAGAGGCAAGACGTGCCAAAAGGACCGGCCTCCTAAGGAGGCCTGGGACAGAGACAAGAAGCCACTGACTGGCAACCTTACCACCTGAGGCCAAGGTAGGGAGCATGGGCATCACAGAAAGTGGATTTAGGTCTGTGGGTGGGGGACACAGTAGGGTCATCTATTAGGAGTGGGCTGAAGACAACATGGTTTCCACAAGAGCAAGCAGGACCACCCACAAGACTCACAACCCAGGAGGGGAGAGTTGGGGGTATCGGGGAATGATGATTGGCTGAGTCGGTAACTGTTGAAGCTGGAGGAGCACTCCTCTAACTCTGGATGTGTTTAAACATTTCCACAATAAAAACATGAAAAAATAACTTCAGTAGAAATAATAGAAGAATAAAAAATAACTTAAATAACTTCCAAACTGTTAGGAATTATATTGGGCTCTTAGGAACAGAAACCTGAAAACCCATGGCTTAAACAAAAGTTTGTTTTCTTCTCCCATAAATAAAGGCCAGCAATGGGAAGGCCAAGGGACAGCAGCTGCATGATGTCAAGAGGCCCCATCCTGTTTCCACATTGCACCCCTGGGATGGGGCTAGCCCTTTTACTCTAGGATGGCTCCTAGAGTTCCAGCCATCATTCCACATTTCAGGAGAGAAAAGAGAGCCACTTATGCCAGCTGACTTCATTTCTTTTAAAGGCCTTTCCCACAAGGCTCACTCACCCAGCCCCCTCCACTGATATTTCAGTGGCTAGAACTGCTACCAGACCCTCCCTGCTACATATAAGGACACCATTATCAAACTCAGGTGCATCCCAAAAGGCTAGATTCTGCTGTGATACAAACTTCCAAATTTCAATGGCTCAAAAGAAATGTGTTTCTCACTCACACAAATCTGCTGGGCTCCAGGCACCTCTCCACACAGTGTCCCACCGTGTGTTTGCTCAGCCTACCAGGCTGCTCCCACTCCTACCTCACCTCCACGTGGACATGAGCTCCTGTGACTGAACTGGTCGAAGTCTGGGCAGGAAGGTCTGGAGAGAAGAGCACTGGCGTTGGAAGAGTCATAGTTCACTTATGCTCCCGTTTTATTGGCTCAACAGCCATGTAGCTGTGTCTAACTTCAAGGAGAAGGAAAACGCAATCTTCCAACGTGCCTGAAAGGAGCGGAAAACAAGAATATTGGTGAACAAGTCAATGTGCCCCACCTCAGCGTTCCATTTACAAGACAGAAGGGAGAGTAAGTACTGGGAGGCAACCAGCAGCCTCTGCCACACTTCTGAAACGTTAGAGGAAAAACATAAAGAAATCTCAATCAATTCAACAGAAATATGAAATGGAAAAAAACAAGTAAGAAAGCAGTGATAGAAAACCCAAAGATGGGAATAAATCTGTATTAAATGGAAATGGGTAAAATTTGTCTGTTGACAGAATCTCACAATAGGTTTTTAAAACTATCCAACCGTATGTTGTTTATAATTCAGACATCTAAAATAAAAGAAAGCTGGAGATTAAAACTTAAACAGAAAAAGATAAAGCAGAAGAGAACATTTAGCTATTTCAAAATATACGTAATCTCCTCTCCTGAGATCTAAGGAAAATGAAAAGAAAGCAACTGACTTCACCAAAAAAGCTCACAATTATTAACAAAGTGAAATAAGGGCCATCAATGAATAAGAGGGACCGCAGCTCGGGAAAGGGGAAAGCAAGAGGAGAGGGCTACCAGGTGAGGCAGGAAGGAGGACACTGAAGGACAAATGCTCGGGGCAAAAGAACGAGGGACCAGGACTCAAATGCAGACATCTGACTCCAGGACCTGGGCTCTTAACCACTCTCCCAGCTGCCTCCTCCAGGAGACTTGTGTAAGAAAGCCCTGATAGAATGACAGAATGGAGCGCTTGAAGAAAACACACACACACACCCCTATATTTTAAGGATAAAATGAGTATTGAGGGCAATGGGCAGTCCTTGCCACCAGGAAGTTCTGCAAAATGTAAAACAGCAGACGATTCCAGCTAACATAAAGTATTCCCGAGTACTGAAAGAACAGAAACTTACCCAACTATCTTTATGATGCTAGCATAGCGCTGATATCAAAACCAGACAAGTATTCTGAGGATCAAATATATAACCTGGTGACTATAATTGATAACACTGTATTGTGTAGTTGAAATTTGCTGCAAGTAAATATTCTCACTAGATAGATAGAGACAGATATGTTAATTAACTAGATGGGAAGAATCCTTTCATAATGTATTTATACACCAAATTATCACAATGTACAATTTTATTTGTCAATTACACTTTAATAAAGTTGGTTGGTTTTTTTTGTCTTTTAATTACGCCTTGTAATTTTTTGCTGAAAGATAGACGTATATACTGGGCAAAAGGAATTATGGTCAACAGACCCTTAGTGATATAGTGGTAAGGTGTGGAGGGAGGGGAAGCATTCAAAGTTCTGTGATTATGTGTGTCTTTTGGTGATTCTGTGCCCCCAGACTATCAATTTCACCAGCGCTTCTCCATTATTTTCCTCCTCGCATGGAACAGATCGACTGGAGGGGACTGGAGTTGTGTATTTCTCTTCCCACATGCGGTAGGCAAAGCCGACTAGACTTGAGTATTTCTCCTCTACCTTGGACTGTGATGTAACACCAGCAGGTTAGGCTCTGGTAACGATTTCTCGTGAGGGCAAGTCTTACTAAGGAGAACAGAATGCTCTTGTGTAATTCAAAATGGTTTATTTCCCCTTCCCTTGTCAGAAGCACAAGGGTATCTTTCTCTGATATTCACTGTAAGGATCTGCTTGAGCTCCTGGAGATTAAACTCACAAAATATGAGGGCCCCACTCGGGCTAGGTCCCCCTGGTGTTTTTCTCTCTCATGCTTGTCCACGCTGTACCTCCAGTAATTCATCAGTTACAATTCAGCCGTTCCCACCTCACACTGGTTCTCATGGAGGTTTCTGTTCTGGTAAGTTGTGATTCTTTGTGTCCCCCTATCTGTATCTCCAATTTGGGGGTAATGGTCTGCCCTGTGACCTCCCTTCTCTGACACATTCAGAAGAGTTGTTGATTTTTTAGTTTTTTCAGTTTTTTACTTGTTAGGATGGAGTGAAGGCTTCTAAAGTCCTTACATGATGGACTGGAAACCATAAATCCTATCATTAATTTTCTATTCCAGTCATTGTATTTTATTTTTTCACTTCTGTAAGTTTTCTTGGTCTTACCTCTAAATTTGATGATTACGTATAATTTCTTACTTCCTCCAAATTTTTATATTTGTCTTTCACTTATTTCAAAATACGGCATAGAGTTACCTTATTTCTCGGCTTGACAGTATTAGTATCTTAAGTCTTTGCAGATCCATTCCTGCTAGTTCTCACTCTCAAGGTGCCTTCTTTCCTTGTGTGTTTACTAGGGTTTTTTAAAAAGTCATCTGCTCATTTTACCTGTGAGAATTACTTGATTCCTGGGATGAATCCAGAAGAGGACTTTGTTGCTTCTCTCAGATGCTTGGGCAGACAATTAGTCCAGGAGGACTGCAAACTAACATCTCAGCTTGTATGTTTTTGGATAAACTATGCAGTGCGAATTTTGGCTGAAAACCTGCAATAGGGAGATCTTTGGTTATAAATTCTCAGGAGCAATTTTTCTTTCTCTGCACAGTACCAAAAATCTACTCAAGAAATGTTCTCTGCCATGTTCAAGGGTTGGGTGATAATAGTATTTGGGGGTCCCAAATATATAAAAGGATCTCCTATTTGACTTCCCACTTTGGGCATGTCTTCTTGTCCCCTGATCCGTATAATGCTGTGACAACCTGAGCTCAAATTCATATGGTTTGGCAAATTTCCTCAAGACAAAAGGCAAGTTTACAACTCCAGTTATATACCTCTCTGAATTCCCATCTTGATTTGGTTGAGTCTGTATTCTTTTCATCCTGCCATACTATCAATGCTTTTAAAATATAGTTTTTAATTTTTGTTCAACATTTTAAATTATCCTCAGCATGTAGACTAATCAGGATTCCTAGTCCACTAGATTGCTTAAAACGTAATAGCATAATGGACATGAATTTCAAATCCAGTTTCGCCAAATCCATAACCACTTAAAACAGACTTATCTTGGTCCATAAACCCCGAAGATAGAAATATCCCACAGCATCTATATTCTGTGCCATATATTTCTTATGTCAGTCGGAGCCCATGAAACCTGATCCATTACAAGAAGGATGGCATGGCATGAGAAACCACTGACCAAAAAGGAAGATCTGGATCAGTCTCTCATGAGCTAGAATTTGTAAATATGGAGCCAGTCTTTGAACAGCATGTGCTAAGGCTTCACATGTCTTAGATTCCATCAGATAGAGGGTAGAACATGAACCATCTGAGAAAACCAAAGGTATGACATAGAGAAGGCCCACAGAGGAGATGAAGACATTAGTTGACAGGAGGAGAAGGTAAAAGAAGCAGAGAAACCCGAAGGAGCCCAAGAGAGCAGGTCCACAAAGTTCTGAGTTCTAGAGAAGCACCCCATCCTGTTCAGGTTTCTGGGATGCTGGTCTTTCTACAATTCCATTACTCTAATCCCCAGGACATATCTACCCTCTTATCGATCCCTGCAATGGTCCCTCATCATGCATGCTACCTTTTGTGACACTCCTTGAAACTAATGCAAACAGTAAAACCTCCTATGACTATTTCATCACAGCCATGATGTAATACCATGGTAGATCCATAGGTGAGCACATAAAAGTCCAGGAGAATTTGGTCAGCAAGGAAGCCCTTGCAGTTTCTGTCCCACAGCCTGAAGCTGGCTGACTTATATATTATCCTGATAGGATTTTAATTCCTCTGGGAGGTAACAGAAGCACAATCCATGATGTGATTAAACAAGTGAGTGGAAGTCTTGGGTCCTGCTACCATATCAAAGGGACTAATAACCCAAGGTCTTGGGATATGTGCTACGTGAACACTGTGACATATCCCCTATGTTGCTTTTTCCTTTTACTCCCAGTTGTGTGGAAGAGGGTTAACATAGCAGGCCTGAGAACGCTATCCTTAGGAAGGCATGCTTGAAAAGTCAGCCATTAGCTCATGTCAAGGAATTTGGATTTTCAGAGGGTTCCCACAATTCCCTAACTGATAAAGTCATTTACTGCATCTGAACTGTTTGTTCAAGCAATGTCATTTGTGCTGAATACCTGCTTTCCTTATGAGACCCTGGAATTTTGGTATATGCTATCCAGAGGGTGTCTATATGGCTGAACCCCAATGAAAACCCTGCGCCCCTTGAATCAAGTTACCCTCCCTGGTATACATGTTGTCTCAAGTCATTGCAGGAGGAATTACACACTTCCTGTGTGACTCCCCTCGGAGAGCACGCTTGGAAGCTTGCACGTGGCTTCCTCTAGACTTCACCTACTGTGTTTTTTCCCTTTGCTGATTTTGCCTATATCATTTTACTGGAATAAATCTCAGCCACAAGTATGTCTATACGTGGAATCCTATGAGTCCTAGAGAATCACTAAACCTGGAGATGCCCTGGGGGACCACCAACACAGCAGTGTACAAAATCCAGAAAACAAAAAAGCCATTACTTTATTATACAAATATAAGGACAGAGACTGAGAGGGTGGTGCTGGCAGCCATAAGAGGAGGAAGGAAGAGATACAAGTTATGAAACCCAGATCAAGAGAAGACAGGAAAGGCTTGAGCCCCGTAAAATCTGAGAGAGGACATGTGGCACCAATATCCCTGCTCTCCGAAGTAGCTGGTAACAGGCAGGGATTACAGATGGGCTACAAAAGAAGAGGACTTTGGTGTGGATGCGACTCAGAGATCCCGCATTTCCATCCTGGGCTTCTCTCTGTCTCTGATGGAGGTGAAGCGGACAGATGTTACAACCTGCCCCCTGGCACTTGTTACAGAAGACACAACAGTGTGGTGGGTATAAAACCCTTATGTCACAGTTATGATTATGATCTTGTAACTCACCTCTCTCTCCCTTCCTACCAGTTCCAGGACTCTCAGCAACCACATGAGACTTGGCTGTCATCCAGAGCCGTGGCCAGATCTATTCTGGTGGTTTCCACAAGATTGGGGGTATCACGTGCCTTCTTAAGTCCTGAGATAGGATAGGAAGCCACAAGGAATA